CAACTAGCACAAGCCAGAAAGTTTTCTTAAAGGAACCGTGCAGTCTTTGCTGCTACCACTGAGTCAGGAAGCCTTCTCTTAAAAGAATCATGCCTCTGCTCCTACCAAACAGAGCCCACCTGAGAAAAGGCTGCTACCAAAAAGCCATGCTTAACTCTGTTCTTTAAGAGTTATTTATTATGTATACAACATTCCTTCCATGTATGCTTGCATACCAGAAGAGGGCACCAGATCTCATTATAGATGGCTGTGAGCCATCATGTGCTGGCTGGGAATTGAACTCAGGACCTCTGGAAGAGCAGTCAGCTCTGTTCTTTAGTGTCTAGAATTCCTTTACAAGCTTTCTTAGGTTTTACGTGGATATAGTCAACCACGTTGGTGCCAAATTGTTTATGGAGCCTGCTTGTTTCATTCCCAGACGCCCAGACTTGAAACAACCACACAGAAACTTTATTATTTAAATCACTGCTTGGTCAATCACTTAAGCATGTTGCTAGCTAGCTCATATCTTAAATTAGCTCATTTCTATTCATTTGTGTATAACTCTGTGGCTGTGGCTTACCAGGTAAAGTACCATCCAGCATCTGTCTCTGACGGGGATACATGGCTTCTTCCTGATTCTGCCCACTCTCTATATATAACTTTTCCAGCCTGGCTATATTCTGTTAAGCCATTGGTTGAAAGCAGCTTTATTTATTAACCAATAAAAGCAACATACATACAGAAGGACTTCCCACACCTGAAGTCACTGGAAACAGACTTTTGGGATCAGCTTGGGATCATCTTGTCACTGGTTGGTTCTTTCCACACTTTACTTCCTGGCTGGTCACGATGGGAATTCCTGGGCCATGGTGTCACCACCATGATAGACTGAACGCTTTGGAACCTTAAGCCAAAAACTAATACTCCCCCCACAACTTGTTTTTGTCAGATATTCTGAGTGCAGCAGTGCAATCGCAACTCAAGGAGAGAAAAACAGCAGACAAAAATCCTGCTCAACAAAGAACATATCTAAGCACTTGTACATTGTGCTAAGCACAACATACAACACAATTCCTCCTTCTCATTCTGTCTTTTCAGCTGTCCAAGTGAGTCCAAATTCCCAGAAACATCTTAACCAGAAAGCTTGGCTCAAGTTGGTTGTAAAAAATAAACAATTAAGAGTGGTTTGGGTGCTGGGTATGGTGACACTTTAAAGGTTGAAGCAGGGTGGTCATGAGTTCAAGGTCAGTCTGAACTACGTAGCAAGTTCCAGGATAGTCTGCGCTATGTGGTGAGATCTTGTCTCAGAGAAGCCAGGCTTGGGGCATAGCTCAGTGGTCTGAGCTCTTATTTAGCATGTGTATGTATTTGTTAGGTTCAGTTCCAGCACTGGGGAAAGTGGCTTTTGGAGAGAACTCAAAGGCCTTCAAATGCAGGAGAATACTGTTTTAGCTCTGAAGAGGGCAGTATGCAGCCAAGGCCACACAGGTACCAGTGGTTTCCTTCAGGGTCTGAAGGTAGGTCAGCCCTCAGGAGCCCAGGCAGCTTGGGTTTCCAAGAGCTTATTTCTTGAAAGACAAACACATCTTCACACATGAAATAGGATTCTTGAGGTTTGAGCACAGTTACGCACTGCCTCTCAGAGGGACACAGTGCAAACTGATACGAAGGTGCTTGGTTATGCTGGATGGATGGGAGAGTCCCCATTTTCCTTTCCTGTGCTTGCGTCTGCTCTCTCAGATCAACCTTTATGAAGTTAAACAATAGCGCAGCCTCCCAGATGGCATCCCATGTTTGCAGAAGAAAGTGTTTCCTTTTCTTCTAAGACTCCGAGAACAGAGCTTCTGCTGCCTAAAGCAAAAATATTCTTGAAAACATCCTTTGCACAGAAGGAAAATATTGGGAATGGGGATTTTAGCTCCTGGGATGCTTTTATCAAACCAATAACAGTAATTATAATTAGAACACACACAAACTGAATGCTAAGCATGCAATAAATTTTCAGAAAACCTGAATTGTATGCAATTAAGCCCTGTGTGGTGGTATTGCCAGGTACGCCATTAATACATGGAGGGAGGGCTTGGAGCAGATTCTTTCCTTAAATATTTCAGTCTGAGCGCATCAAAGACCCAACCAGAGTTGAAGAGGAGAAATAAGGATGCATAGCTTGAGCTGGCTACACACAGAGCTGTAAGGCAGACGTCAAAGGGTCACCCAGATGGCTACTTAAGCCATCATTCTACGACACCCTGTCAGATATGTTCATTGAGCGCCAGTTCAACCCAGGTCTGCATTAAAAGGAGGAGAGAACCTCATGGAAGGTAGAGCTTTAACTCCTTGATTCCACTTCGGGAATGCATTAAACTCAGTGTTAAAAATCTTCCCTTGACTTCCCATTACTCAGAGAACAGAGTATTCTTCTAAAACATTTATTATTTTTATTTGCTTAGTCACTTATTTATTATGCGCCGCAGGGTTGCCACACGTGCCACAGGAAAGGGCACCTTGCAGAAGCCGCTTCTCCCCTTCCACCACGTGGCCCTCAGGCTGCCCACACATCCTCACTGTGAGCCACCTCGACATAGCGACGTTTGTCTTTCACTTTACCTGGACTGACATGATCTCTCCTTTGCTAGACTATGACTCTTTAGAGATTTCATCCCTTTATCCTCGGTCTCCAGCATCTGGCATATGACCCAGCAGCGGAACAGGTGCTGGGAAAATGTTAAATGAAGAGTGGCCAGTACAATAGGTAAAGAGGAGAAAACGGCGAAGAAGCCACTTCAGATAACCCTTCTCTGTTTCTGCTTCTCCCATGTCAGTCAGCCATTTCATTCCCATGATGCTAATCCAGGACTGATTTAGCGAAGAGATGCACATGACATGTGGTAGTGACTGCAAAGCGCTATAGCGCTCCACAGAGTATAAGCCCTGAGTTTTTCTTGTGATCCTGTTTAGGACAGTGAGTGTCCGATGACAAACTTCAGCCACGTCTTCTGGCACCTTGTTATATAAAAGTATAAAAAGACTGTATATAGAGTTGCCGAGTTCCCCCAGTGTGGTAAAGATCATGAGCAGGACATTGGCGTTGATACAATTCACCCAACTACTTCAAACTTCGTTTTAAATGCACCCGAGTGTGTTTGCAAACTTTACATTTCTGACAACAGTCCGTTCCTTTCCTGCATCCCGGAGACCACCAGATCAGGGGCTCAGGCTGATCTATCCCAGCCCAGGACTTGGCTCCCGCTGGCACCTATGCTGCTTAGATTCGTCTCTTGAGCAGTGCAGGTGACTGACAATTGTCCTCATACACACTTAAACTTGTCAGCCCGTGTGCAAGCGGCAGGAACATTTTAAGGCAGAAAAACGAAGCATGGAGCATCTAAAATTTTAGAGGGTAAAAGTTGGCCATTTTTTCCAATTGAGAATTGGCAAACCGACTATTTGCTCCAGAGCGACCCTAGAGTTCAGCTGTGATCGCCGGAAAGCAGTTTTTTGGACCCCATCCTTTCACCCCCGGGATGGGGAAGTGGGAAGTCTTCGCAGGGCCCCCAGGGCTCCTCCTGCTGCAACCCCCACTTCACTCCCCTTTCTTCCCTGGGGCCGGACTGTTTCACCCCGTCTCCAGGCAACAGTCAGGCGCGCCAGGCGGGACGTCATTTCCTGAAGAGCCCGCGGGGGGGAACAGGGCGGGGAGGGGGAGGGGCGAGGGGGCGGGGCCAAGACCCGGCTGGCGGCGACGGCGACGGCGTCGGCGTCGGAACTAGCTGGAAGACTCGACCCAGAGCTGCTCAACAGTTCGCAAAGTCCGGGCTCTCGGGCGCGTGGCTCCGTGTGCGCCCAGGCGGCGCTGGGGCGCGGGGACCCCGGGCTGCTGCATGGTGGACGGCCCGGGACATGCCCCGCACCCCACGTCGGACGCCCCGGTGGCTCCTCTGGCTGCCACTGCTCCGGACTCTGAGACTAGATCGACCGACGCCCTAACTTCTGACTTTGGGGTCCCCCAGCCCTAGAGGAATGGGCAGATCGGCTGGGGGAGCCCCGGGCATGGTGTGACGGGGCGGGCGGCGTGGCTGCGTCCCCCACTGCGGCCACGCGTGGTCCTCTCGTCTTCCGTCATGTAGCTTCTGTCCCCGCTCCTCTCGGCCTCCAACCGCAGTCTCCGAGACCTCCGGCCTCCAGCCACCAACTCTTTGTCCCCCAGGATCCCGCCGCGGTCTTCGCGTCCTCAGGATTACAACAGCCGTCTCTTCGCCCTCCGGATTCCAGTTTCGTCACCCCCCACCCCGCCCGCTGCCTTCGTGCCCCTGGGACACAGCCGCGGTCCCTGCTCTCTCCCCAGGATCCAACCACCGCTCCTGAGCACCCCCACCCACCCACCCTGCAGCCGTCGTCTCCGTCTCCGCTCTCCGGCCGGTCTACACTGCGGTCACGGTCTCCGCGTCTCCCCCAAGCCGTGACCTCGGCGCCCCCGGGAATCCAGCTGTCGCGCCGCTGGCCGCAGGTGCAGCAGCTGCCCCGCGCCGCGC